TCTTCCTCCTGCTCCATGGAATGAATATTTCACGGAGAGTACCAATGTTCTTATTTGCAAATCCAAGCAACACTTTCCCCCTGATCTTTCTAGTTTCTGCTGCTAATTGCTATTACTGTGGGCTAATAATTTTCATCACAGATCTATGAAATGTTTATGGAAATCAAATATTGCATAGTTGGCAAAGAGATCGTTTCATATTGAGACAAAAGGTTAATTCCTTATAGCTTAGTTTTGCCTTTGTCTTTCAAGCCCCAAAGTGTTATGTCAGAACCAACTTGTAGCAACCCCAACTAAGTTTTCAAGGTAGGTGAAATGTTACTAGTCCCGCACCCCCAATGAATTTCCCTGGCTGAGTGGGGATCTGAACACAGGCTTCCCAAGTCCTGGCCTGTCACTCTGTCCATTGCCTCACACTGGGTATCCCAAATAGTCCTTAAATAGTTTCTCAATATTTCTTGGTGAGTGAGACTTCAGGTGACATACTCTTTATTCCCCAACAGGTAGCTTGAAGATTTATAAAACACTATCCATATAGCTGTTTCATCCATTTTTATTAGAAACATCCTATTTAACAAATAAATGTATTTTATACTGAAGAAGGGAATTCTGGAAATTTCTGCTCTGTGAGCACATGAGCTCCCCAACACTGATGTCAGTACTACTGTGTGTTCCCCAAGTGGAAAGAAGTTTGAGGAATAGCACTCAGAGATTTAGTTCATTTTTATAAAAACACTGGAAACTCAGAGGGTTGAAAGTAATTTTTGCCTTCTTTCCAAATACATAGGCAGAGAAATAAATAGACTGCATTTATATAATCATAGAAGGGATTCTTAAAGAGATTCTGTTCCCCAAGGTGCTGCACCTTGAGCAGCTAAGGGCTCTGTCAGCCATAGTAAATGGTAAATTATTGTGCCGTGTGCACTCACCCACCTGCCAACTTCTCTGTTGGGACAGCTAATCATTCCATTTTCTCGGAAGGTCCACATCAGAATTCAGTTTTGTATTTGAATGTACTTTTTCTACAACTACTCATAGCTGTAAGACTTTTGGATGGCAATCACACCTGTAACTTTTCATAAGTTGCAAAGAGGTATTTTTAACTAATTGTGTCTTCAGTTTTCTACATAGCTATAAGACTTTTGTACTTTTGCAACTCTTGAGGTATTTTGTACATATGGAACATAGAAGCAATATAGATAAATAAAGCTTGTAGAAACAGACAAGCTGATGTCTGAAATTATTGCAACAATAAAAAAAGACATACCTTTAACACTCAGATGAATTTTGATTATATTTGTGATTGTGTAATTTCATTCTGGAGTTAACCCTTTATTGGGATATGCCAGCTGCAAAAAACACAGGATCTGATTTCTTTTTCCCCGGATAGCCATAAAGTTCTGTAGGATTCTTAGGGAGATTCAGGCTTCAGGTTATCTGACAACCTGGTTGGCAGGTGGGGGTTAAACTTAACTCTTTTACAGAAGATTATATTCCAGAGAATAAAGAGACGAATGTCGTGGACAAGAGTGTCAGTGATGTATCAGAAACTGGATGGTGGTGCAGAGACCTACCAACAGAAGGGAAAGGACAATGAAGCAGTGGAAGAGAAAATACTTCAGAGTGCTGTCCTCTGAAGATGCCGGCCACAGAGACTGGCGAAACATTAGGAAGAACAACCTTCAGAACACGGCCAAAGAGCCCGAAAAACCCACAACAACCATTAGATCCCGGCCGTGAAAGCCTTCGCGAATACAGAAAATAATTTGGTTTGAAATGTGTCTAAATCAATGCACAGAGCATGGGAAACAAGCAAGATGAGCCTGAATTCTTGGTACATGAAGGTAAATTATAATAAACATTGTTGAAACCAGGTGGGATGAGACTCATGACTGGAATATAGTGATTGAAGGGTATAAATTACTGTATTAACAAGGAATAGACTACACAGGAAGGGAAGGGAAGCAGCATTGTATGTGAAAGATACGTACAACTGTGAGGAGAACCATGTACTGGAACATGAAATTCTGGTAGAGAGCAGTTGATTAAAAATAAAGAGTAGAAAGAAACACATCACTCTGCGTGTGTGTGCGCGCGCGTGTGCTACAGACCTCCTAACAAAACTGAGGATTTTAATAATGTAATGGGCAATGTCAGCTCCCCTGGTATCTGTTGGAAGTTCAGTTCTACCAAGACTATACGGTCCACAACGTTCACTCCTTTTCATCTCCCAGAATGTAGAAGAGGTGACAACAAGAACAACTCTCCTAAAGGGTTATAACTAAATGGGAAGAACTGTTGAATGAAGTATAAATAGTGGGAACTTCATATTGAAGTGACCATATCTTCTTGGATTTGTTAAATATGAGGCATAGGTCTGTCAGTACAACCTGCTCAGAAATACGTCTTCAGTACCATTACTAGTTTTACCACCACCAGGAACAGGAGTTTACATCTGCAATTGACTCTTGTGATGGTGACCACAAGCTCACCAGCATTTAACATAGTTCTTGTAGTCCCAGCAACAATGATGACAGTGACACTTTGTTCAGTGCAGCAGTATATAAGGCATCCACATCCGCAGATCTTGGATCAAATGCAGACTGCTGCAGTTCTGACCTGTGTTCTGCTTTTTCAACCTGCTCACTGGAAGCACTGGTAACCAAATCAGACCCTGTTGTTCCATACCCATCAGTGCACAGCTTTTTGCTAACTAAGGGTGTAATCAGGCAGAGGGAAATGCATACGTCCAATTTCACCAGAAATATTGCTTTACAGGGAGCAATCTCCCATAAAGCACCTCTTCTGTCTGTCGGGGAAATTACTCCAGCTTGTCACTCAAAAGTGGTAGCCCTGCAGCTGGACCAAAAAGGACTAGTTTGGATACAGATTGGTGTCAGGCTGGAGTGCAGTTTCCCCTACATCATGTGATTGCCAGGAAACAGATTGCATTAGAATGCTATACAAGCAGTACAAAATGCTATCATTTTCCCTGTGTGATGAAATTCTAAATCCATCAGATATAAAGTCCTTGGGCCCGAATACTAACCTACTTCAGTCTCTGTTGCAGATCCTATTTCACACAACATTCAATTCAAATCATTGTGACAGTGTCTGTTGCCATATTGCTAATCCTATGCCATGTTACAAAGGGACCAAGGCAAAAGCTGTCCTTTCTTTCTGGAAAATAGAAAACTTGTATAGGGGAATCGAGCAATATATAAAAAAGTTAAAGTCAACACAAGTTTATGATTTAATTTAACAAAAATAAGAAAACAAAACCAAAAGTTGTCATACAACGTGAAGATTGTTTTCCTTTGTTTCTTTTCCATACTTGGCCCATTTTCATTCTTCTTTCTGGATTCACTGAGTTGCTGTCATTCTCTGGGTAAATCTGCTCACAATTAAATTTTTGCTGACTAATCCATTCAGTGGGAATTAACTAGGTCAGCAACACATAATCAGCGATGAGAGATCATCAGAACAGTGTGGCCTTCTATGGCTCTTTCGCATTCCCCTCCTTTCTCCGTGATGAGAGCCAACTTACTGAGGAATGAGCAAGAGTTCTAGCCCTCTGAAATGCTTTGAAGGTGCCAATGAATGGTTTCTCTTTGCTGCCTTTTACTAAAAGAAGCTCTCTAGTTCTTTCAAGCTATGGCTCTTTTCGGCACCAACATACAGTACTTAAGTGTTCCAGACTGAGCATAACCTCTTTTTTCCCTAAACATATGACTGATAAACTGTGGGAACACTTAGCTTCTGTTGGCGATTCTCAGACATCTCTAACAACAGCAGCAACATAATCCTCATGAGTAAACCCCATGAACCTGACATCTGTAGTACGTAACAAAGCTGGGAAAGCAAAAATAGATCTAGAAGGCAATGTGGGCAGCAACATGTGTGGTGCTCGGCTTAGGGTCAAGGAGGAAACACCAGGATATATAAATACTGAAGATTGTAGGGGTCCTTAGAGGCATCAGATACTGTATGTAGGAGTAGCACTCTGTGGAGAAAACAAAGGTGTGTAGTTTCCCCAAAGTCTGTGAAGGGTTTGTATTGTGGAAACCCTTTCATCTGCTGTAATGAACAACAGAGGACCACAGTAACAGGTGTAAGGAGAGAGCTGCAAAAGAAATGGGCAGGACATTACCTATTAATTTTCCTTACAATTCATCTTTCTAGCCTTGATTTTATTGTCTGCTTGGGTTGTTTTAATTTTGTGGAGTATTGCTGAACGTGGTTTTAACAAGTATAAACTATTTCACTATTTTGTTTACCAAAAACAAAGGCTCATATCTTAGTACAGTCTATTTTACTATCACAGCACAGGAAGCGTGGAGTGTTCCATTTTTGACAGCCGAGAAGGAGCCAGAAGCATTAAAACAACAACAACTGGGAGGAGGTCTAAGAGGTGTCACTATAGCGGAGAACCATGAGAATCGAATGAATAGAGCGTAAGACTAGGAGTCAGGGGACCTGGGTTCAAATCCTTGCTCAGCCATAGAGATTCGCGGAGGGGCGGCCCTTATAAAACAAGTCCTTCAGTATCTCACATGCCCTGTCTGGGACATCTGAAGCGGGAACGGAAGGGACTTGTGGGCACATACAGTACCGACCAAATGGTCGGTCAAGGGGCGTTGCACGACACGATCCACCTTTTTGTCCAGGCAAAAGGGGAACCTCTGCATTTGCAGCAGCATCAGGGAGCTTTTCGAACGATCCCCCGCCTTCCTGCCTGTCAAGGGCTCCTAACCCGCCGTCGCTCTAATAAACCAGGCCTGACTGACACTAAGCCGCGCTGGATCCTGACCAGGCTCCTCAGGTCATCAACTTTATTCGCTCAGACCCTTCTCGCCTGCCGGCTGCGCCAGGCGGGTTATGTCGCGGACGGGGTTAAAGTGCTGCTGTAATTCCACACACACCCCCGCCACCGCCTCCCCTCAGTTGGCAGGACGAGGGTTGCGGCTTCCCGCGACGCCTGGGGGGGGGGGAGTCCGACCCTGGGAACGGGAGAGAGGGAGGAGAGGAGGCGCCTCTACCTGCTCCCGCGCCTCGGCCCCAGCCCCGACCAGACGGCGGTGATGCGGCGCGGTGCCCTTTTCCCTCCGACTTGCCGGCGGCTCCTCCCCTTTAAGGAACCGAGGCGGGGCCACGCTTGCTGCAGGAACCTGCCCTTTAAGAGCACCCTCTCTCTCTCTTTCCTTGGTGCTGCCGGTGCTGAAAGCCCTCTCCCCGTTTCCTCCACCTCCCCCCCACACACACACCCCGAAGAAGCCGCCGCCGCCTCGCCATGGTGTCCTGGATCATCTCCCGGCTGGTGGTGTAAGCGCGCGGCGGGGAAGGGCGGGGAGGCCTTCTCTCTCTCTCTCCCGTTGCTAGGCAACGGGATGAAGATGGGGATGGGGATTTGCGGGGAGTGGGGTGGGGGAGAGAGAGAAATTGCTGGCCGGGTGGCTCTCCCGAAGAAGACTCTGTCGTCGTCGTCGTCCCCCTCCCAGGTGCTCTCCCGTGAGCTTTGAGGGGGGGGCCCTCCGAGGGCTCTTCCTCCTGGCAGCGTCTAGGTGGGAAGCGGGGGCGCCTCTTCACCTCGCTCCCACCCCCAGCGGATTTGAACCCGGACGGATGACCTGCGCAGCCCAGGGGCGTCGCCTGAACTCTCAGGCTCCCTCGCCCCGTCAGCCTTTATACTGTGTGGGTCCCTTGCTGTTCAGTATAGTATGTGGGCTGCCGGTTGTCCGCGCCGTCTGGCTGGCGGCTGAAGGGCCGGGAAGAGCCTGCAGGTGGTCAGCAGAAGCCGTGGGGCCTGCCGCTTTGGGGCTGGCAGCCGAAAGGGAAAAGCCGGGCGAGCGGGCGAGGGAGAAGGGGCCAAGGGCTTGGCAGAACTCCGTAGGTTGAATGAGGGGGAGAAAAATCTGACGGGTTTTTTCCTTTCCCCCCTCCCTCGCCATCCCTCCCCTCCCCCTTTACTGTTGTTCCAGGCTGGTTTTTGGTACCCTGTACCCTGCGTATTCTTCTTACAAAGCTGTGAAGACGAAAAATGTGAAGGAATACGTAAGTGTGCGGCAATTGCTCTGTCCTTGCTTTAAGACTCTACAGTACAGTACTGCCTTCTTCCTGTCATAGCTTGTCTCCAGCACTAGCTAGGATGATAACCGTGTTGTGTATATTGGCAAGAAATTGGGATTACCTTCCAAAATAATACTATGATGCCGTTACTTTTTGCCTGGAATGCTTTAAAAAAGTAATTTGCATATCCTATGGCTTTTATATTGTGGACGGATCATTATTTCAGTTTGAATCCATTAAAGTTCTAACAGATTGTTGTAGCCGTATTTAAACACAAACTTTTTGTGTGAAATTTCTGAGGAGCTTTCCCAATTTACTTTAAAAGCTGTGCTTTATCATCTGGGCATCTTTGGTGATTTCACCTCACTGCTGCTCCAAATGATTTGCATCACCTCTGTCTTTTCTGCTATAAAGGTTACAGCTAGTGTGGTCCAGTCTGGAATATTAGTCATGTGCATAGATCACACAAATCATTGTCCTATTGCATACCCTTCAACAGAACTGGAAACTGGATTTTTTACATATTAAGAACTGTACTTCTAAGTTGCACAAAACATGAGAAGCTGGAAGTTGCTTTTTAATGTCAAATGTTCACTTCTGTAGTCACTAGAAATTCTGGTTAGTCTAATGATGGGCATCTTCCCCCTTATGGTGAGAAATTAATGAGCATGAAATGAGCAAATTCTGAAAGCTATTAAGAAATCGAAAGCAACAAAGCTATTTTAAAATCTAATTCAATTTTCAGTGTTAAAATTTAAAAGTTATCTTTGTCACTTATGGAAGTGCTGACATAGAGAGAGAGAGAGAGATGAGGATATTGTGTAGTTCAAGCACAATGGTGTTTGGGAAATACATAAAAACTGGTACCAGAAGGAGTGCAGGGAAGGTGTGCTCTCTTCTAATATTTGTTCTAGAATTGAATTTGAAAATATAGAAGGATGTATATAAAATATTAAATGGCCGTACTTTTCTTTAAAAAGACTTTTATGTACACCCACTTTATGGTTTTTAAATGAGTGTTGTTTCTTAAATTTATTCACCAGCTTTCATTGTACTTTTTGTGATTACTCAAAAAAAAGGAAAGAAAAGAAAATGCAGTGTAAATTAAGAAAATTCAGAAATGTACTAACAATAAAACTACATTAAAACTATCTCCTAAAGAATAAAGTTAGCAATGCAGGAAATGTTCTGCAATATTATCTCTCACTGTAGAAGACCAAGGTTTCATGAAATAAGAATCTTTGGGGCCTTTAAAAATCTGGCTCTGCAAGTTTCCTGCGAAATGGGACTCCATAATTGAAGTGCCCACGGCTGTATTGATGTTATTAATATATTCATGGCATGTCAAATCTCCTAATAGCTTCTCCTATTGATTTACAAATAGAATAGAGTCCTAAAGGATAACTTCCCATAAGGAAGAATAGTAGTTACCAGTTTCTCAGTCCACTTTTAAAGCCTGTGCTGACATGAATGGAACCACTGCAGTCTGTCCGTCCGTCCGTCCATCCATCCATCCATCCATCCATCCCATCCATCCATCCGTGCGTGCGTGCGTGCGTGCATTATTGCTTTGTTGCTGATCAGGCTGTATGCAAGAGCATAGATTAGACCAGTCTTAAAATAGTATTTCAAATCTAATGTAAATGCATATAAACAAGCAAAGGAAGCATAAAATAATGCAATAATAGTAATAAAATAATAAATTAAACATTCTCAAATAAAGTTAACAAGATGTGAAAGTAAACAATACAGTGTAATGGCTAGACTGTTGGACTAGAATGTGGGAGATCCAGGTTCAGGCTTCCACAGTGCCATGAATATTGTTGGCTGATGGTGACTAATCTAACTTTTCCAGCCATACCCACTTCACAGGATTGTTATGAAGATGAAGTAAGGAGGAGGAGAACCACAAGGAAAGGCATTTCATCAATGTAACTTATTAATAAAATAAAGTAAAATCAAGGCCCTATTGTAGCCACAGCGCACAACCTGTCTAGATTAGTATTATGGCTGATGGTACTGAAATCTGCCAGAAGTCCTTAAGGATCAACAGAATCATGCTGTTCTAAGCTTCCTTCTGGCACAAATTACTCTAGGGTGGCCAAGCTAGTGTTTTTTCTGAATTTCAAATAGATAACAGACTGAAGTGGATCTGTGTAAATGAATCTGAAGCAAAATACTGAACTGTATTCACTCTGAGTGCCCAGTGATGCAAAAACACACACCTTTGTTTCATGGAGAACTGCACTTTCTGTGATTTCTCTTTAATAGCTTAATAAAAGGATCCAGTAGAATGTAATGACTGGAAAAATGGCACATTCTCTGCAAAAGGTTGTTAGAAAAAGTACTGAAAATAGAATGTGTAATATAATAAAGTTTTATATAAAACTGTATAATTCTCTGCTGTGTGGGTGATCATGGCCACTGAGTGTTCATGGTTTTGAAAGCTGCTAAAAAGAGAGAAATAGGGGATAGTTCCATCAATGGTTATTAGTTACAGTGGGGTAAAAAGCCCTCCACGATCAGAAGTAGCTTACATCTGAATACCAGTACCTGAGAGCAGCCAGCTTGGGAGAGTTATTGCCTTCATGCCTTTTTTGTTGACTTCCTGAAATAATTTGGAAGAACACTTTGAGGAATGAGATGGTAGATAAGAATAGACCTTTTGATTGATTCTTCAGGACAAATTAAGATTGCTCCATTGCTTTGGCCAAAACAGGGAAGCTTCACACAGTCCTTCAGTCCCCAGCAGTAGTCTTACTACTATTTCCTTTTTAAGACAGCAGATACTACCATCTTCCACAACAAACACAATTCAGTCCTCAGGTATTTGTCATTAATCATAAGGATTAAGTGGAGAAACACTAACACAGTGCCAAGCTCCTTGAAGATAGTCTTGGGTGTCAGCAGTCAAGGGTAATTTAATATTCTTAGGAAGGGTATTCCACAGCTAGGGAGCTGTTACAGAAAGTATCCTGTCCCATGTTTATCCCAACTTAACCTTTTTTGATGGCAAGTTATAAAATAGTGTCATCAGTGAAGATTATAGATTATAGGTAGGTTCAAACAGGAATAGGCTGCATGTAAAACATGTTGGCCCCAAGCTTTTTACACAAGAGAGAAAACTTTCCGTGCCCTTTGTAGCCTATTAAAAAGTGAAGTAAGTGAAAAAGGAGCCCCCCCTTTTATTCCCATCACTGAACATAGATAATTTTCTTCACGTGTTGTTTAGCTTATCATTAAGGAGGCAAACAGGGGTGAGGGTAGAACCTTTGTTATCACAGGAGATGGGGCTTCACAGAGGAGGAAGACTATTGCAAGATTTTGCAAATTGGATTGCAAATTGCATTGGTGGCTTATCCCACCAATAAGGTCTATGGGCCAGAGGTTGCCTTCGTAGAAGCATTTATGTGGAAGCATCTGGGAACTGTCATATCAACCTTCAGAGTAAATTCCGAATTTTAGGACCACCCAGATTTGACAGACCAGCTGGGCAGGATCAGTCCCCTAAGACAGTTCAAAAGCTATCTGGATCTTTTAGGATTTCAGGATGAACTATTCTAATGGCCTTATCATTACTTGGAACTGGTGGGATTTATTCCCAGCACAAATAAAAGCTGAAGGAGAAATGTCATCCTGGACTACAGTGCAGCAGGAAGAGTTAAATTCCTTCTTAGCAGATAGTATTTGCATTATGGCCTCCAGATTAAAAAACCTTAGTGGGATGGAAGTATCTGGTCAGGACTGCCCCCTCTGTCCTGTACAACAAAATTTCCATAATAGTTTTCAGGTTGGACCATTCCTCTATGATTAAACCATGAATAGTAGTTGTTTCCTCAGGGATAAACCTTGTAATTGGAGCAGATGATGATTCACTGGGTAGCAGACAGAAATAAGAGCATAGGCAGAGCTGTGTTGGATCAAACTATGGATCTGGCAAGTCCAGCATTCTGTCCCTGGGGTTGCCACCCAGATGTAAAAAAAAAGCATAACAGAACCTATAACCAGGACTTAATGGCAATAACACCTTCCTTGCTCATGTTCCCCAGCAACTAAAATCCAAAATACTACCTTCTCTAATAGTGGAGATAATAGAAGCACTGTGATTTGTAGGTATTGATAGCCATCTTTTTGAGTCAACTTGTACCATCTCCTTTTAAAATCATTCTGGTTTATAGTAATCAATATCATTGTATCTTGTACTATCAAATTCAACAGTTGAAATACTTGTGGAACAATGTTTTATCTGTCCTGCCTTTCACATCATTCAGTTTATATAATGTTGGTTCTAGTGTTATGAAAAGACCTTTCACTTTCTCCACACCATGTATAATTTTATACAATTCTGTGTACTCACCTTTTGTCTGTGGTGAAAGTCTTCAAGGTAGTCTCTCACAGAGGAGTTGCTCTGGCCCCTTTATTAATTGGGTCGACTCTTTCTGCATCTTCTGTAGATCTGCAATATTCTCTGAAATGCACTGGGCTGAAAGTACAGAGGCATGACATTGGCATTCTTATATTTGATCATCACATGATGATCACTGACATGGAATTTGTCCTCTTCACAGCAGTTGCACACCAGACCAGGTTTTTTTCTTGAAGATTCCTGCTATAGCCCCAATATCTTTTTCTGCACCAGTGACTCCTGTCTCAGACCAAATTATGCAATCAAACATTTTTGCCCCAGTGTGATCACTTCATACTTGCTTACACCAGTAAGCAATTAAACAATAAAAATCTTGATATTTTAATGCTTCCTCTTTCAGTTTAGAGAGATTATTTCAAAGTGGTTTGCTGCCCTTTTTTGTTTTCAATATAACTACTTTGCTGTTGTCAGTTTCTGTGTGAGTGTGTAAATTGGGCAGCAGATTTACAGGAAGAAAAGCTTACAGATGTATAATTCATTTCACTGTAGACTTGCAATATTACTCTCACATCACCACCTTCTCTCTTTTTGTACAAAGAAGAAAAATGTTTATCCATTTCTGGGGGTAAGTGGTAGCCATGTTAGCCTGTTACAGCAAAAATCCACTCTGTAATTTCGTACCTTCAAGTTTCTTCATTATTTATATGCACACTAAAATGCACCCAGCACTTCTTTGTGGCTGCATGTTACCTATTTGGTACTTGTAGCAAGCTGCTTTTCAGGTTAGTTGGTCTCCCATTACTGATCTTCTTATTGAGGAACTCCTGATGAGCTTATGTTCCCTGGAACACAGTTTCATAATCACTGAAACAACAGGCATGCTTTGCATTTTGTGGTAGTAGCCATAACCACGTTGGTGCTGAAAATACGTAAATGAAGTACCACAGGATGACTAGGGTGGGAAAATGTAAAGTTCTTCTCATTGTATAGGGAGGAGATCTGTATAAATATTAAATATTAAAAAGAATAAAGCAAGAACATCAAATCATATATATTATTTCCAGTATTCAGTTGCTGTTGCTTAGGTAGCCAAAATGGCAATACCTGTGGACTGGGTGAAGGCTCAGCAGACTTACAGGAGCCCTATGTTGTGCAGAAAAACATTTTAAAAAAGGGAAAATAAGCCTTAACAGAGGATTCTCCTGAGTAGCCCACAGAACAGTGGCCAGATGTTGAGAGAAAAGAATGGAGTGAATGGGGTCCTGAACAGGAACCATGGCAGACTGGAATATTTTATTGCAGGTTATGTTCATTATTAAAGATATTTTTGTTTTTAACTGTAATACACTCTGGGCGAAGTGGTTAAAAGTGACACTTTAAACTGTTACATTGTAAGAAAGTAAATCATTGAGGTTAGGATCTGCATGTTTAAAGTGACTGTCAGAAAGAATCTGTTTTTTAGCCACTTGGCATACAGTGGGGTCTTGACTTGAGAACTTAATCCGTATTGGAAGGCGGTTCTCAAGTCAAAAAGTCTGTAAGTCAAGCCGTCTGTAAGTCAAGGGTCCACTGTACTCAATTTCAAAAGCAAGATTTTTAAAAATATAATGCTTGCAATTTACTGGACAGTAGGGGGAGCTGGCTTCTCTTTCTTAAGCTCAGCAGTCTAGTTAAATTATACAGAAAAAGGGAGCTTAACCTTCCTTTAAAAACATTCCTGCTGATGTTGAGTTTTATTATAGCAAAATAACATGTAGTAGATAGTGTCATTTCTTTTCTTGTGTTAAAATAGCTGGCTTATAGTGCATTTTTATCAGGAAAAATGTTCTGATATTGATAATAATACCCTGTTTCCCTGAAAATAAGACCTAACCTGGAAATAAGCCCTAGTATGACTTTTCAGGAAGCTTGTAATATAAGCCCTATCCCAAAAATAAGCCCCAGTTAAGTGAAAACCTACCCTCCACCATTGTGCAGCAACCAGAAGACAATGACATGACTGTAAAATAAAACATCCCCTGAAAATAAGTCGTAATGCGTTTTTTGGAGCAAAAATTATTTTTTTTGGTAAACACAGTAACTGTTTGCCATCAAATCAATTCTAACTTATGTCATACCTTTCCAGGGTTAGAAAGTACTCAGAAGTGGTTCACCATTCCCTTCCTCTGGCGAGCATCCTGGGACTGTGCAGCTTGCCCGTGGCCATACAGGCTGGCTTTTGTGAAATACACAGTAGGGAATTGGACGCTCAACCTCTGGCTCCTCAGCCAGATACCTAACTCACGGAACTATTCAGCCAGCTCTCTGTTAGTAATAGCTCACCATATACGGTATCTACTTTTTGGGGGATTATTCTGGAGCAGCTGGATAACAATTAAGGAAGTATAGACATGCTTAGTCTTGCTCATCCCGAGCATCATCTTGCTAAAAGCTGTGGATTTTGGGATAGCCACCTCAAACTGATTCCCATTTACAAAGACTCTTCTAAGGGTTTTCTAGGCACACTCAGAATTGATTTATCATTCCCATCTTCTGGGAGTGCTCTCAGACTTTGCAGCTTACCTAAGGCTGCACATAGGCTGGCTCTCCTCCCAGGAGGCACAGTGTGGAATTGAACTACTGACCTCAAACTCTGAAATCAGAGACCCAGTCCAGTTCTCAAGTATTCTGCATTTTTTGTGTTGAGTCCCATCATGAAACCATTTAGAGATCCTAGTGAATATCACAACTGTGCACAGCATAACCAAGGCAGAAAAAACCTACAAACAACTTTTTCAGGAGTCTGGGAAAGGTTAAAAGGATGAGGATTGAGAATGAAAATGTGTATGGTTTCTAGTACTTCTATTGTGTTCATAATTTGTCTATACTTTAAACCATTTGTACAGGGTCTTGAGTCCCTTATACAGGAGAAAAGCAACATCAAAAGGGAAATGTTATGCAAAAGCACCACCTCTAAAAAGAGATATGCAGGATTCATGTTGGTGTGGGTAGCACAGAGCCTGTTCCATTAGGCAAAAACAAAAGAAAAGACAAAAGACAAAAAAACATTGTGACATCTATTCCATTAGGGCTATTGTTTACCAGCCAATTTCTGCCTGCCTCCTTTTCCTCCACTGTTCATGTGAATGTTTGTCTGTCTGTCTCTATTTTAGAGAATATTTTGTGGTATGTAAATGAACTCCTGTGCACATACTTTTGCCCTTGCTTCTCCTGCCATCCTTGTCTGATGGACCCTCTGCTTTACCAGCCACAGACATGTGGTAGATAGACAATTTGAGAAGCTGTTGTACATACAGTACTTAGATTCCTTGATACTATCAGTGCAGATGTTACACATGATGTATCTTATCGTGTAACAGAGACAGTTGAAATGTGCATTGTTTATGTTTCATAACAGCATAAGTTATTTAGTAAGGATCAGTACAAATGCTTTAGTTCATCTAATTGAATAAAAATACAGTATTTATGGCTTTTAAAAATCTTTGTGGGAAGAGATTCAAGATATAATTTCTATCTTAGACACTGTCCCCTGAAATCTCTGTTAATCAGACAGTGTTGAAGGGATAGGTCTGAGCGAGATCAGCAGTGGCTATCAGACCTTGGACTGCTGATATTTTGTCATTGCCATAATCATATGCTAAATTATTAAAAATGCTTGGATTTGGGATCAATCAAGAATGTGTTTTAAAGCAGGTCTCGGTGCTCAGCAAAGCAAAATGTGCTGCTTATATACTGTCTCATAGTGCTTAAATCACTCTCTGGGCAGTTTACAATTTAATTATGCAGGCTACACATTCCCCCATCCCCCACAAGCTGTTCAGTTGATTTCTAATGGGATTGGCTCTCTTTCAGGTCAAGTGGATGATGTACTGGATTGTGTTTGCCTTCTTCACTACAGCAGAGACACTTACAGATATCATTCTCTCTTGGTAAGGTTTCTGCCAATTGTTAGAAATTAAATAGTAGAGTTGCTGGAAATTTTATTCTCTTTTAGTCATCTGGAATTGCGCTGTCAAAGTATTCAGATTCTGTGTCCCTAAGATCTGTAAACATTATTTCCTATTACTGTAAATTATCAGATGCTGTGTTTTGTACTGGATTATCTGAAGTTGGTAAAAATATATAGTTGCTCTGTTTCTTTACCTGTGATTTGGAGAGAAAACAAATGAAGTTTGGAGTTCTTGTTTCAAAACTCAAGCTGAAACCTAGTGGAATAATTTTAGAAGCAACCTCTGAATATTAGGATTTTAGTTCTGAATAATACTGTAGTTTCTGGCATCGAGGCATGCCATACATACGTGTCATGCTTTGCAAACATTTGTTATCATAATATTCTTTTAAGGAGAATATTGTGCAGACTGACATATTCTGACTAGGTATTGAGAAGTGAGATGATGCTGTAATCCTGCCAAGATAGCAATGTAAAGTGGCCAGTAACTTGTCTTAAAACATTTAGCAGCGAACTTCTTCAGAAGACATTAAATGGTTGGGGTAAGCACTAGCTTGATAGTATCAGTGATTCTCAAGTAGAGGGCCAGTCTTGCTCCCCTAAATTATGGTGGTCTATAGGGACGTGGTGGCGCTGCGGGCTAAACCGCAGAAGCCTGTGCTGCAGGGTCAGAAGACCAAGCAGTCGTAAGATCGAATCCACGCAACGGAGTGAGCTCCCGTCGCTTGTTCCAGCTCCCGCCAACCTAGCAGTTCGAAAGCATGCAAAATGCAAGTAGATAAATAGGGACCACTTTGGTGGGAAGGTAACAGCGTTCCGTGTCTAAGTCGCACTGGCCATGTGACCACGGAAGATTGTCTTCGGACAAACGCTGGCTGTATGGCTTGGAAACGGGGATGAGCACCGCCCCCTAGAGTCAAACACAACTGGACAAAACTTGTCAAGGGGAACCTTTACCTTTACCTATAGTTCTTTAGCAGATTATCAGTAAGACTACCATCACACAGATGTGTATTTCCAGGGTTGAGCAGTAACCCAGAGTATGGAATTATTTTAGCTATAGATGATGTTTGAATTGAGACTTCAGAAAGGTACTTCCCAGCAGTAGAATGTGTGGCCCTTTCCACAGCTGGCCTTGTCATGTTGATTCTGTTTCCTCTACTATTTTCTCCTTCTCTCTTTGTCTCAGCTGTACTACTCTCTGGACTGTCAGCTTTTTCTCTGTCTCTGACTTGAGCTTGATTCCCACTTTTCCATTTCTCTCAGGTTTCCCTTTTATTTCGAGTTGAAAATCGCATTTGTGATTTGGCTGCTCTCTCCTTACACCAAGGGTTCCAGCGTCCTCTACAGGAAGTTTGTTCACCCAACGCTCTCCAATAAGGAGAAGGTACTTCCTTTAGATTGCCCTACATCTTGGTCCTGAAAGTTGAATGACAGTAAATTTAGTTAGGTTGAAAGGAGTATAACAACAGCAACAGCCGTCACTCCTGTGCCTGCTCATAATGAATGCATGGCAATTGTTTATTTTACAGAATACTGTAAGGGAGAATCCCTAGTTTGCAGCCTGATGTGGGACTGTTTTAGTTTTAACTTGAATGTTAATTTGGAGCTGACAGCTCCTAATTGTGATCCAAAGGGCCATACATAGCACTGCATGCACACTACAAGTTCCCCCTTCTTTATTGCATCCTCCTGAAAAGCTGTATCTTAAGAGTCTGGGGAATTATTTGGAGCAGCCATTGATATGGTTCAAGGGGTTTGCAACAATCAGGGAAACTAGGCATTGCTATTTGTGTTCAGAGGCATGTTCCACCCAGCCATAGGCCAGTTTGTATCCTGGCCTGCTTTTCAGCATTTATTACTGGTACTTCAGTTACTTTTACATCATGTGGGTTACACTGAAATTAGCAGTATATGTATCACAACTCTGTATCATCTCATAAAATTTTAGCACATAGTAAATTGTAAGCACACCCATCTTTTCAGTGTGAGTTTACAGACAGAAGAAGAGAAAGTTACCAGATGACAGGCATATCTTGGTGAAAGCTCATCACATATAAGTACACATTTTTAAGTGTGAATGATGTATCACTGTGCTAAGAGAAACTACAGAGAGTAATGTTCACTGGAATATTGAATATAATTTCCTTGGTAAATGCTGTGCAAAATGTTAGGATTGAGGTATAATTTCAAATGTCACTGCTTTAATGTCAAGACTTTAAGGACATGCCACCACACATGGAAACATTGCTTTCTTCTCAGTATGTTTTTCCAGAAATAGTTTAAGGGAGCTCATTGCATTTAATTTTTTTTATTTTTGGAAGCATTGAAAGTCTTACCCAAACCAGTACAATATTTAAAATTGGAATAGCTAAACATGAAAAAAAAAGAGATCTGTTCCAGTGCAAACAGTCCTGTATGTACAACAGCAGGATTAAGATTTTATGCAGATCATGTCTGGAAATTCCAAAAAATTATGTTAGGCTATTGTCATATTCCTTAAGCTAGAAAATGGGAATGTGTTGTACCATGAAATATTCTTTGTAGGCAGCTTTTCATTTCCTGAATTACAGTTTATGATTTCTCTGGTAGCTACCTCAGGAAAGCTTGACCCGCAAGCCAAAAGTTTTCCATTTCATCTGAGGATTATTTATATTACTTTTCTGTATTTGGCTGAAGGTCTGTGTGTGATACAGGCATGATGAATTACAAGTGATGAGTTATATATGCTTAGACCATGACTTTCCTTGTCAAAATGCACAGATCTCACAATGGGAAAATGAATAACCTCTTTCTTCTTATTATTTGATATGGACCATGCAGGTCTACTGTTTAATGCTTTCAAAGACAATTCAATATTGATGATTCTTTCAGCATCTAAAAGTGTTAAAAAAAACATCGACAGACCTTATTTTGTCTGGGACACAGGACTGATTACTTTTGTTATCATTTATGTGTTGTCATTTATAAACAGGACTGCTTTAGCTCTATCCAACATTGATTGACCAGGACTAACTTCCCAGACTGGTGCTCTTTCCCCATGCTGTGAAAAGTTCTTTTTGAAATTTATACGCCTTCATTTCTGAATAGACCCAGGGTGTGAGCTCAGCAGGAACTCATTTTGTGCTGTCATGTTTTTAACTATACAATAGCTCTGTGCTGAGCAATACAGCTTAGTAAGATGACCAGCAGCAGTTATGAGAAAATGTTGATATGGCGATTTCCCACCAAATAGTCCAGTTGTTCTTCACTTGCTGGGTTCAAGAACGCCATTGACTATTGCCTTAGAAGATCATGTCGCTTGTGGTGTACAGAGCCATTAAAGGATTCAGTTATTTAGTATGCAATATTATGTGTGAATATCTAAAATGTAATAGAACTTATAATAGATGAGGTTTAAACAAATGATTCACAGGAATCAAGTGTTTTTATATTCTATAGTGAAGTTTTCTCTTCTCTTTTTTACGCTGTCAGTATTGAGAAACATTGGACTTGGCACAGCAAATATAATATTAATAGCAATACTTACATGAGCCAAATGGATTTGGTGCTTGTTTCTGATCCAAATGTCTATACCTGCCTTTTTTCTCGTATGGATTCATCATTGATTTGTATGTAACTTTCCCACAAGTAAATTGCACTGAAATGACTCACAACATATCAAATGTCATTGCTACAGAATTGGATCAAGGGTTGATTTCTCTTTGATCAGAAAGAAAAACTGGGTTCAGCAAAGGCCATTAACCAAAAGAAGGGGATTTGAGCTACAATTTTTGTTAACTTGTTCACACTGTGTTGCCCAATGCTATTTGTACAGTGTACTTGACCAGCTCACAGTCCATCACAACAAATTTTAAGAGGCACAATGAGCTTCGAGGGTGTGGGGAATTGGTAGAACCTCTTCCCCACTTTTCTCTCTGCAGGATTATCTAGTTTGTGAAGTTCTGTTCCATATAACTTCATACAATCAATTAATTAATCAATACATACATGCACACACATAGAGCTTTGTATGAACTGTATTAACCTTACAAATAAGCTGACATAATCCAGTAGCATAGAACAAAACAAAATATTATAAAGTCTGTGTCACAGTAATATATTACACAGCGCACTCTTCAAGGCAGCATGTGTTTATAAGGCTGCAATGCAGTTGTTAAGAATGGAATTCCACATATTATTGTGTCAGTTAATCTTTCATTTATTGTTGACTTTTTAGAGCCAGCATGGATAGGAGAAGAACAGTCATGTTCTTTTGTTCAACATATCTGTGCTGTGTAATTACCGTTATTAAGTGGAGTAGAATATGTGTGTCTTATTTTTACAATGAAAAAGGTATGCAGGTAGGGGAAACTGAAACCTATCTTGCTTTGGCTCTGCCACTGTCTTTAGGCAGTGTCTTCTTCTACTCTGGAAGCAGAGGCATGCTATGAAAAGGTGCCTTGGCTGAAAGAGCATGGGTAACTAAGAGAAGGGAGGTTTCTGTATTCTTTCTGATAAACATTACTCTTTCCACCATGTCCATAAGTGGGTCTGTAATGTCTGAAACAAACGTGAATGCCTGCATCCAATCTAATTTGCTCCTCAGTTTTGCCAAATGTTAATAGGCTATGTTAGTTTCATGCATTCCATTTGTGTCCTTTGTATATCATGTGCTGTCAAGTTGGAAATGACTTCTAGCAACTTTAATAGGGCTTTCAAGGTAAGTAAGATATTTAAGGACTGCTTTTATTAGTTCTGACCCCCTACCCCAACCCCATGAATTTCCATGGCTGGGCAGGGATCCGAATCCAGATCTCTGAGTCCTAGTCCATCGCTCTGTCTACACCACACTGGGTATCTTCATGTCCTTTATCCAACTGAAATGTACCTAAATAATGAAGATAAATACTATGTTCTAAAATTTATTCAATTCAACAGTTTATGAAAACAGAATGACTGGATTGCAGCCAAATAACAAAACAGCAGCAATTGTGAATAACAACTAGTGTAATGGAAGTTTGTCATGACTTGTTGTCTGCTGTGTCAAGAGCAGGCTGTGTTGGTGAGACCGTATGATATAGCTTCATGATGGGCACAGAAGTTCTGTGGAGGGATTGATTTTGAGCCACCTGTTCTGCAGCTTTGAGAGATTGCTCCCAGAGAAAAAGCCTTAGCTTTGATTTTTTTTTGAAGACAAAGACGAAACAGGAGAGGTAAACTGAAAAGTAAAACTAAAACGAAATAGGCTGAAAAAAGGTACAACAATTGAATAAGAAAAGAGAGGTAATAAGATAAGAGAAAAACTCACAAAAATTGCTTAGGAAAGTTTCATTGTCACTCTGAAGACAGACAAAAACGAACTGAGGGCTTCTAGCCTGGTTGCAAGTTTATACGTGTGAGGGAGGGTGTAGGTGAGATTACCACCCACATACTTAGAATGTTCTGGAATAAGGTCTGCACATATGCAACATTCATTTGTGTGATCCATAGAGACCACAAAGAAAAACAGCTAGTTTATGTAACTGAAGTTTACCAGGATTTAATCCTTTTCAGATTAGATGAAACAAAAAGCACATCAAACAGGGACATAATCTTAGGTCTTGACTACATGTCATAATACTCCTGTTTTTGTGTTGGGTTTAGCACATGGAAATTGATTTTAAAGTATCACCTACACAATGCACAGCTAAGCACACTTACAGTTGCTTATATTCTGTATCAATGAGTCTAGAAGTAGGAGGTGTGTGGTTTCTTCATTATTGTTTCTTGCTGAATTCTTCTGTGTTTTGATAGAGCCAGAGAACTATATAACATATGGCAAATTAGTGTAAGTTTTTATCTTGTTTTCAAGAACACATTGATACTCCCTGGGTGATTTTTTTAAATTCCCACAGGCAAACTATCCAGGATTAGTTTGTAGTCATTGAATAGGAAAAATTTACTAGAGCATTTGAAAAAAAATCACAGTGATTTTCTTCTTGATACAGGATAGTTTGAGAACATAATCTGAAAATTTTTCTTCTATTTTTTATTCATATTCTGTGAACTTTCTGTACTTTGGAAGGCTTAGAAGTTATTGTGTGAGTGCATCTCATGATGGAGGGAGACTCTTACACAATTTTTAATTATTTATGTGCCCTTCTTCCAATTAAATCCTAGGAAATTGATGAGTATATCAGCCAGGCTCGTGATAAGAGTTATGAAACAATGATGCGAGTTGGAAAGCGTGGATTAAATTTGGCAGCAAATGCAGCAGTTACAGCAGCCACAAAGGTAAGTCCTTATGCTTATGTGCAATATCTATTCTGTTCAATCCCACTGTGCTGATATTTGGTACCGTATACCTTCACACACCTCCTTTCTACAACTTGGCTTTTGCTGTGTTTATTCCATCAGGTTATATATGAAACGGATTTTATTCTGGCCAGCCTGTGTCTGTCATATGTTCTCATCCTGTCCCCTCATATCTTCTATGGGCAGTTCTTCCAGTATTTCCCTTGTGATGTGTTCTGAATGGTATGGTGTATTTGGATAGTTGTAACTAGGTACTATGTTTTAAAGGGCCAGGGAGTTTTGTCTGAAAAACTACGGAGTTTCAGCATGCAGGACTTGACTTTGATTCGGGATGATGATGCCGTGCATTTACGGAGCCCTGAGCCACACATGCGCACCTCTCCTACTGGCCTTCTTGAAACCATTGATGATTCAGGTATAAGACATCAATTTCTGTTATTTCAAGAGAGCAGGAGGCCTTGAGGTAAATGTTAAGTGTCTAGCTTCAGTGGCCTGTAGCTTTGCTGCTATTTCCTGGTGAAGGACTGCATGTTGTAATTTCATTTTCAAAATCATTCAAAGCATTTGCCATTATTGTTTCAAATATTGTATTTATCTAATTAATAACAGATACTGTCATAATCACATTACATGAAGTACTTGGATTTGCAATGGATATGCTGTTTAGGAAGGAATTCACTCTGTTCAAGCAACAAAAAGTTTTCTGGGTCAAACTATGTATGATGGCAGCATGTTCATTCCTTTAAACACGAGTCCTCCTAGTTATATAAAGTAGCAAATGGAAGCATGAAAGGGTCTAACACGTATTAGTTCTACTTTTCTCTCTGAAGACTGTCTCTCAAGCTTCTTTTGAGCCAACAGTATTAAAGAGAAACTGCTAGAAGGGGGAAGTTATTGGCAAATAACATGTTTTTACCTCCCTTCTGCCTGAACACTCAGTCTGCCCTTTAAATTACATCCCCAACACTGAAGAAATGAATGAAGGAGAGACTTAATTTCATGATGTGACACCACTCTAGATCAAGGAGAGAGACCTACTGATGCCATTAGTTAAAAAAGAGATTAAAAGTAGTGGAGAATCCCAAGCACAGTATTGAAGATGTTTAACATAATGTCTAGCTTGACCATGAGAGTTTAACTCTCACCCTATTTTCATTTGTCCTCCTTGTCTCCAAAGGTCTGAGAGTTAGGGTTTGCATTTTTCTCTGTTGCTATATTTTAAAATAAGAGAGAGCCCTTCTATTGGTTTTTAATTCAGGTGCATCCTGTTACTCTTCATCAGAGGAGATGCCTGTGCCTCAAAGACATAATGGAGCCCACACTGATGCCAGAACAGATCCATTGGACGATGACACAGGAGACAAAGTTCCCAAACGGACTCAGAGTCTTAAAGCTCCTAAAAAAGTGACAAAGACAGAGGTGAGCATGCATGTAATTGTTTGCATGACCTGCAGTTGGGTGATTGCTTTGCCAGAAAATATGGGCAAAGTGTGGGAATATGTTGAAGCTCCTGCCTTGTTCCCTGTGTTCTTCAGCCTTGCATTTAGTCTTTTTTTAAACAGTGACTTTTCAGCCTAGAGCACATACCTTCCCATGAGAACCAGCTTCAGTTTGCCTTTGTTGTCCTTCCACTGTACCATCAACTGGTAAAGAAGTATTTATGTCTTCTGCTTTGCCGAGACCATTATATTTTCATCTTAGATACCTGGGACACTACTAAGGACAAAAAGATGTGATGGCATCAGCCACTGATTTATTTTTCCTGTGTCTGCATTGCTCATGTATGAAGCAAGATGTGGGATGTGTATGCCTAATTTTAAATACTAGGAAGGGATGAGGAGAACAGAATGAACATATTCTGCCTTACCCTTAATCACATTTCATTATCCAAACTATCCATCTGAGCTGACCTGTGAAGCATGGGAAGGCAAGAGAAGCAAGGGAGATTCTGCTCTCTTTTCCAGTTTTACCCTTATGATGCACTTTCCTCCTAGATACATGAATGAAATAGATGAATGTACACAGATGGCTGCCAGTATCACATCTTCTTTGGCCTATGGGATGGATCCAGATGACTGGAGTTTGTTTCATTATCTTCTCTTAACTTTTATTGAAGGAGGAGACACATCCTACTTACATGTCCTGACCATTTAATACTTACATGTACATGAAGTTTTCTGTTACTGCTGCCACAGAGTAGACTTACTTAGGCTGAGGGCAATAATGGTGTTTGAGCATTAATTGTACTAATAGGATGTAAAGGACTTAAAAACCGTGTAGCAATAAATCAGTATTTTTAGTGGTATTCCTCTTCTGGAATCAGTAGCACATTGAAAAGTTGAAGAAAGTTCTTTCTTTCTTTCTTTCTTTCTTTCTTTCTTTCTTTCTTTCTTTCTTTCTTTCTTTCTTTCTTTCATTCTTTCTTTCTTTCTTTCTTTCTTTCTTTCTTTCTTTAGCAGTATTCTATTCTCATTTGCAACTAATTTCACATAATTTTTCTCTTGGATTGCAGCCCCCGCAAAAGACTGTGAAAGCCCGTCCTAAGAAGAAAGTTACAGGCTCCAGTACTGCTGGCGAGTCAGCCTAAGGACATCCCAGCCTGTCTGTCCCAGGGCTCTTCTGTCACTTTGAGGGGCACTCTCCAAGGAAAGAGAGCTGAGATAATGTACATAACAGCTACTGCTTTGTAGAGTTCATTCCAGGGCAAGAGGGTGACTGAAATTTGGCACACAGATCAGAGGATAGCCATCCTCAGGAATTATTTCCTCTTCATCATTGTGGTGAAGAGAATGCTAATCTGTACATAGCCTGTTGCTTTGGGATTTCCTCTCCTTGTGCAACCCTAATAGGGAAATTCTTTGCCAGAAGTATCTCTTTAATTAGGGTTAGAGCCATCTTTGGCAGAAAGGCTGGGGAACAAAAGACTTGTGCCACCAAAATTCTAACTGGAAGTGGGGAGCTCCTCATAATATTTCAGCATTTCACTGGATGTCATGCTGTAGCTGCTATGAGAATTGGTAGGAAGTGCCTGACATGAAGCGACTGGTACTGAAAACAGTGTCATCCAAACTTACTTTGAAAGGAGAAAGAGACAGAAATACTGGTTTGCCTAATGATTTGCTTCATGGGCAACAACTGAAGTGGGGTGACAGTGACTTTGGGTAAGGGCTTTTTAGCAAGGACTGAAGGAGGCTGAAAAAAGATTGTGGGTGGTCAGCATCTTAGCTAGTATCTGCTGCCTGTTTCTAAGCATCATCCTTTGCCCAGATGGAAGTGTTATAATTTTGCTTGTGGTAGGTGTTGGGAAGAGTAAAACGTCTGCATGTTTTTCCGAGTAGAAAGAAGGCAGGAAGGAAGATGAAGAATTTTTGAATGATTAAGAGGGCCATGGTTGGAAGAGAATGTGGAAGACACCTGAGCATAGAGCAGTATTTCAAAGAATTTGAATCCTGAATAGTCGCTCTCTCACAAACCAAACCTTTTGGCCCCTGCTTTGAAGTTGCCTTCACATTTAAAATTTTACAGGTCAGTCTGGTTTTGGTAAGAATTGTTGGGGAAAGGCACATATGAAGAAGTTGAAAGGCCATTAGCTGGATGGTTTCTGGCTTCTGCTGTGTACTTAATATTGCTTTATTTGCACTGAGAATATAAGTTAAAAGCTTGATCAGTGCAGCATAGTGCAGAGGCAAAAAAATAACATCCTTTTGGAGAACTTTCCTAAATGGCATCTTGTAATAAAGGAAGTGTTTGTGACATTCTTAACGATTGTATGGGTAGACATAGGAAAAGACGACCCAGCTCTCAGGAACTACCCATACCTACCACCACTTTCTTTTATCACTTCTGCTAACTCTGGTTAGCTTGAGAAACAATATCACATGGTGTTTAAAGCCACTTGGTGTTTTCTAAAAATCGGAGTTTGCTGTTTATGTTGAACTGCAGTCAAGTAAATGGCTGAAAAACCACCAGCCAGCTGAACATAGCTGGATATGACTATCCTCATCTAGGACTGTGGTGTGGGGATGTTACAAACAGTGTAATAATTAACCTTCTGTTTTCCTATGGTAAATGTTTTGTTTTCTGACTATGTGCCAAACAACCAGCCTTTTAAATGCTGGAGAAAATATATGAGATTTTGATGCTACAGGAACCAGCTTTCAGTGACACTTATTTACAAAGGTCAAAATCCTCAGACTGCAGAGTGTAGTGCCCACCCACAAGCTCCATTGAGCTGTTGTATGAATCATAGGTTGCCCAGTTAAATAAACAGGGTTTATGGTTCCACAAGGAGATAGTAAGAACCTTGTTACACAAGCTCTAGAAAGCCCCAGCCATTCTCACAAGGGATTATTGCTTGAATGGATATAATGAAGAAGAATCTGTGTTGTCAATTTATTCAGAGGACTCTGGAATGGGTGACAGTATGGATTGAGTTTGGTTGTGCAGCAAAATGATCTTGCAGCTGCTTTAGCTGTGCGGATTATATACCTCCTTTTTTTCCCCAGTGCAAGCTGATATTTCCTGCTCCTTAAACAAGTTTGCTCAAATGTTAAGCTCCATTAACTTCAAAGGGGCTTTCCTTCTAATAAACATGCTTTGAGGATTGCACCTTTAAGCTGACTCCCTTAGGATGTATAGTTACAGGCAGAAATGACCTGTCCTTAAGATTACATATGCATTTCTGTTGACTGTACTAATGTCTTCAGTCCTTCACAGTTCTGTTACACATCTGCACTTTTGTGTTGTACTTCTAGTTTAACACCTGGCAGTTCAGCCTCTGCAAGAACAAAGAGAGTGCTTCACAGCATTTTTGCCCATTTGTTTTTCCTGGCAGCAGCTGTCTTAGCCAAAGACTTGGCAAATGATAACAGAAATTTTGTAATTTGTCACAGATACTGACCCTAAATCTCAGATTAGCCATTTTAGTAGTTGAAAGATTGCCTTGGGTTTGCTGAGTGTGAGAACAAAGAAACAGATTTCACACAGTTGTTCACTTTTTTCTAGTTTTGTGCTATTAGTTTTGAGCAGTTCTGCTTGAATAGAGATTATATATGAACCAGTTCCAAGCATATATAGCATATGACTGGTGAAAGTGCATTTAGATGCTGGCTTCACTGTAACAGAGGCCTTTATATTTCTGTAATATTGCCAAGGGAAGAGCAGTCTATTCTACCAAGGACATAGCACTATCTTATCAAATTGCTGCCTCTGGTTAATAGCACATTGTGTTTTTTGTTTGTACATATCAACTTGCATTTTCACAGCACATATATTGGACTCTTCCCAGGATCCTTTGTGTAATTTTTGTGTGAAGGCGGTGATTTTGCATAGCAGGTGATGGATTGAGATCAGAACTAGCAACATTATTCTAAATGAGAACATAGGTTTTTTTGGCAGTGGCCATCAGCAGTGCTTGCAGCAATCCACGGAAAGTATGATGCTGGATAACTTGACCCTTTATACCAATCAAACTGGCTCCAACAATATTCCCTACATATTTTTAAATTAGCTTACTCTAGATTTTCATACTTGTCTTCTCACCACATCAGGTGAATGGGCTGATGGAGTTTCAGTAGAAGCTTTTGATTATTTTAAATGTACCACTTCTTGGTATTGACACATTTGGTTTCCTTTCCTTTATAATATTTTGTACTTCAAAAAATTCATATCAATAGGTTGTGTTTAGCTTACTTGTTACAGTCTCAGTGAACAGCCTAGTTTTTGCTGCCTGCCTTAGGTGGTAAAAATGGAGGCTGAAAAAGTCAAACATATGGCAGCGCCTATAATGCTGAGTTGCATTTGCTTGGTAGCTTATGTTTTCCAGATCTGATTTAGTGTCTATTAACAGCTGCATGTTGCATTTCCAGTTGGTTGTCATAACATAGTTTCCAACATCATCCTTTTAAAAAAATGCTTTGTGAAAATTGCAAGGAATGTTAGTTTCTTATAAAATATTTCACATGGCTGTCTTTCCTTTTCATGCTTCAAAGAGTAGTCTGACATGATTCTTGGAGTGAACATGGTCACCCACGTTGAAATTCTGTGTTTGAAGTCAAGTTCATTCATGATGAACTTAGACCAAAGTACATGAAATGTTAAATCTGTGGCTTGATGTTCAGAAGATGCTTCCCCAGTATAAACAGTAGTCAAGAAGGTCATGGCATGAAGGAAGGGCATTTAACTGTTTCCTCCCACACTGCCATCTTGATTAAGTGTGACAGAGGAAACACTGAAACACTCCTTTCAGCTGTGATTTTACTTGCGAGGGAAGCTCTCATTTGTATCACTGCATGTTTAAGGGAAGAATTCTTGGCAAGAAAATAACATGGGAGGAGCAGGTTGGTCTTTCCACGCACTGTGGTCTTGATCACTCTCCCCCTTTGTGGCTTCTGTGTACATGGGTTGGGAGATGTCAGACCACAGGATTCATATCACACAATGGCCAAAATCCTGTTTCGTAGCATAATAAATTACACTAGAATAGGCCCGTTGAACGGGGATTAAATGAGTCATCTCTTCCATAAATCACATTGACTCAAATGGGCCTACTCTAATCATTACTTAGTATGCTAAAGCAAGTTGCAGTTAGAGTAGGCCCATTTGAATCAATGCAATTTCTGGAGTTGACTCACCAAATTCAGTGAGCCTGTTTTAGTGTTATTTTCTGCACTAAGCAACAGGATTTTAGCAAGTATCACTTAAACTATAACTTTTTAAAACCCTGTTTTAGGGGAATTATAGACCTGGAATGTAGTTTTTTCCTCTTCTCTGACTGCTACTACTGGTATCTTCAAGAAACTATCACAATAAGGCTGCAGTCCTATGCACACTTTGTACATAGGACATGTTTATTAGTAAAGGATTGCACTCATAATCATTTTGTGATTAAGATGGCTAACAACTGGACTATCATGGGAAGATTGAAATCACCATATAAATGTTACGACAACCCAAATGTACTATTACTTTAACTTCTCTGTGTGCACCTCAAACTTGCTAGAAAATTAGTGGTAAAAGAATTCAGATCTTTTAGTCATCGAGCTCTAAGTACATAGTAAAACACTACTACACGTAAATAATATTGGACAGCTTCATTGGAGTACAGGAAACCTCAAATTCTACAGGGGTTACAATAATATTACATTATTGCTCCTGCATGTCTACCATGGCTGTATTCTGTTGTGGTGATTGAGGACAAAAAGGTGGCAAGGATCAGAGTAGGAGAATACACAGAGGTGGGAGAAGCTTGTAGAGTGACCACAGATTTTGTGTTATTTATTGGAGGATTGAGTGTCCTATATGGTTTGCTGTAGTGTGTGTCTCCAGGAGCAAAATATATCTCCAAAAACACATCTCTATGGTCTTTTCCATCCCAGGCAAAAGAGTGCCTTCTAACATTGTTTAGAGCAGAAGAAGGCTAGCCAGCATCCTCTAGTTAGTGCCTTTTGAACTACCACTCCCATTGACCCTAATCACTTGCAGTGGTAGTTAGGGCTGCTGAGAGTTATGATTCAAAACATGGAGGGTGCCAGATTGCCTGTCTCTGGCTCAGAGTAAGATGTTTTTCCTTCTTGCTGTAGGAAGAGTCCCTTTGTTTTTGTCTTCTGTTTCCATTTCCTTGTGTCATAGTCTTGTGAGACACAGCATGTAGGAACTCTCTGGGATGTTAATGTTATTAACAAATAGTATTACCTTTAGATAGAAAGTTTGGGTACAGAGGGGTTATGGTTCTCTTTGTGGCTGAATCACATTCCATTGATTTAAGCAAATACAAGCACTGGAGTTTTATAGAAGTTTTCATTTGGGAACAAATTGCCCACTGCCAGTGCATTCCTGTTCCACTGTTAATACATACACAGTTGATCCTCAGCTCGAAAAGTTATAGTCTGTGTTTTTTCTGGCACCTTTAGCCAGAATTACTGTAACCTACGCTAGTTCTAGTTCTTCTGTTCTTGGGTCACTGTTTTGTAAAGGATATGCTGCTGACTGTCATCCCTTTCCAAACATTCAAAGTGATTCATTTGAATGTGCATGGCTGATCAGAAGTAGAGCCATGAATATTGGTTCATTATGTTGAATGCCAGCATTTTCCTTGTTTGTTTGAGCAGGCAGAAGTGACAAGAGGTAGCATACTTTAGCCATACAATAGTGAAACATCAAGAAATGGGCAAGAACTAAGATTGGCTGAAACTACTTAAAAGTCTTAATCCTTTTGAAAGGTATTTTAAGCCTTTTCCCTGGTGGTCCTATAGCACCTTTTGCTGGTTCCTTCAGTGGCTCACTGGCCCCAGTGTCTGTCATTCTTAACACAGATTTGGCGGTTAAGTTTTTCAGAACACTGAAGAAATTGTTCTAGAGGGGTAATTGACTGTATTACACCCACTGATTGTGCCACATTTTCCTCATACTGCCATGGTCTCTAGTCTAGCTGATTTTAACGATTTTGAAGCATTCCAAGCAGTATGGGGTAAGGAAGAGCCAGGACATGTTATTGCCACAAGCAGAGCTGCTACAGTAGATTTGCCAGTCATGGGTAACGCTTATCATAAATAAGTCCCAGAGTCATACATAGAACAGTTTCTAAACTGATGCTCAGAATTTCTAAAAACTGAGGTGGGGCACATGTTTTATCCACATTCATTATACAGTACATTAAGTGTATATCCCCATATAATAGACCTTTAGAAAAAGAGCATGTAAATGCAATACTGCCTCTCCCTATCAGCAATGTCCCAACGTTCAAGAGCATTTTTAATTTTTTTTAAAGGTTTTCTTACGAATGAAATGAATCAGGCAGAAGCTGCTTGTAATCTGGCCTAGTCAATGTTGCTCATACTTTGACTTGAGTGGGACTATGGGAAGCTGCTCTATTTTTGGATTAGACAAAGGATTTAGTGAAAGAACCTGTTCCTTTTTCCGTGGGGCCTGCCACCAACCTCTGCTTAGTACTGTTATCATGCTACCAGTGCCCGATGGAGGCAATTTCCAGGGTAGCATTAAAGGGGAAGCTGCATGAATTTTTCCAGGGAAATATTTGTACACAGCAACTGCCTGCATGGGTGGGAGGGGAAAGAATGTTTTGACCACAGAGCAAGGCAGGCTTGGTCAGGGAGTGGAACTTGTTAAACAAATGACAAGAAGTGGTCCTGCCAGAAAGTTTGGATGACTAAACTGAGAAAAGGAAAGGGGATTTCCAAGGAGATTGGATAACAGCCAGTTATTTTTATTTAGATTCCTTTAGACTAAGAGGGTGAGTCAGCTGTATGGGCAAACAGAAAGAGAGAAATATGTCAATAGACAGCTTGAGTGAAGCCATATCCTACTGTTGTTGAGAGTAATGTTCTCAACCATTTTGCCAGCTGCAGCACACCAAGCCTTATGTTGTGGAGCTCAATGGGCAAGAAGAAACTCCTTCTTGAAGGCTTCTCCATAGTGTTTCCTCTGTCAAGGTGTTATGGATGTGCACGACTAACCATGCTGACCTTACCTGCTTAGGCCAGATGTTTAGAAAACAAAAGAAACGTAATTATGTTGAGTCTTGCAGAGTTCTTAATACCCACAGCACTGGTAACTGGTGCTATTCTGTCTAGCACAGATGCTGCTATCCCAGAAAAGTTCATCCCAAGATTCATTCATTCCCTTTGTTCTGCCTCAGTGGAAGTTTTCTTGGAAAGTATGTCTCTTCTTCCCTGTGCCCTCCCAAATCCAGAAAAAACTTCATAACCATTGGACAACTGCTGAGAAAAAAGCTTTTTACCTCAGCTCCTCAGAAAACCTGTGTCCTGTTATCTTGCAGGAGGAATCCTTGATCTCCTATGGAGAGAACATACAGTTCTCTTTTACTGCTGTATATGAAGATGCTGCATTACAGGGGAGAGCGGAATTCCCTCTATTCTTTAGGAAACTAATGTTCTCTCAAGATGGCAATCTGTATAGCATGCTATGGCTGACATGTTTAGAACATATAAAGTGGATGACAGGAAGGTTTAAAAGCAAACTTTAACTACAGTATATGCAAAAGCTCTGGAATCTGTGCTCACTTATCAGGAACATGTATTGGAATCCTTGAATTCTGTACACATGCAATCACCAGTATTATTTGTTGAGCTAGTATTCTGTGTACCTTCTGCAAGTTCTTAGTGCTTGGTGAAACCCTCTCTTAGATAATTTTATTCTACTGGAACTTGTATTTGCCTGGTTTTGACCTGAACCCTCTATAGAACTATGATCCAATAAGAAAAGATATTTGGGAACCATTAATTTACATGGTTACTTTAGTATTTTCATACTTTATGTACTAACTGCAGTCATATCACATGAGGACTATGGCAGGAAGTAACAGCAAGTATGTTAAAGATTGCTTGAAGGCCACAGAATGTACCTTGATCAGTCCTCCAGTTAGCCTCTAGCATAGCTTCCACACTTAATCTCACTAGCTAAATAATGACTAGATTGTGTCTCTCTTCCTGTTCACATATCCCAAGCTAGCCTTAAATTCTCTTTAATTAAATATTTGCCACTTTGGGACAATGGTGGCTGAACCTCCACCTTCCTCAACAGAGGATCACAAACCATGGAGAGACTGCAATCTGGGACCAAACTTTTGGGACCAAATGTGTGGTGGGATTCCACAGGAGGAGAAAAAGTTTACAGCAGCCAGTTCCGACTGTGAAATCAACCTTTCCTGGAAACTCTGGGCCAGAAAGATGAACTTTGATATCAGAACTTTTGAGTCTTTGAGAATGACGGATGTCTGAAGAAGTGTGTGTAGCAAAGTCCAGTATCAAAGCTGCTACTGTTTGTTCTGTTTGCAATGACAAATTGGAATCCAAAACAATATGGAATGTAGACAAAATATATATTGGTCTCTGTCTCTTCAATATTCTAAGTACTATAAAAGTGAATCAGTCTCCATTCCTGGGAGGCTTGTTTATAATTTGCTTCCTCCTACCAACTGCTGCATTGGTTACACTGTGATTTTAGAATTTGGTGTTTCTTTCTGAAGTCTGCTTTCTTAGTGGAAACGTGTCAAAGACAAGTTTGCTAAAAACATATCGTTTGATCAGTCTAGAAATGGAGCTGTTTTTTTTCCCCCATGGACATATAATGTTGCCAGTTCACAGAAGCTCTATGCAGGTTATCTCCCCACTCCCACTCACTTACATCAGAAGTTCATGGGACAAAGAAAGCAGAGATGAGTGCCCGGTTGACACTGCCTTCTCTACGGCCTCTGCTTCGATCCTTGGCAGCAGTCAATGGGCTTGGTGATGAACAGCAGTAACACATTCTGCTAATGTACATGACTCTTGTTTGGAGAGCCTGCGTGAATAGAGAAGGCTGCGTTGCAGATGTTGCCTTGGTGGTTGGAACAGAGCCCATGGGATTGTCTAGGTTTTCCCCTTCACATGCTTCAGAGCTAAAGTTATTCCTAGAGCTTTCAAGATTTCAAGCAACTGCTCTCCTCTGGTGTCACCTTTATTGGGTAACATCACTTTCCAAGTCCTCTAGATCATACACTAAAAAAGTGAGAAGTTTTGATCCACAACATGGATTTTTGAATTGATAGTCTCCACTGTCTCTGACAGTCTGCACATTTTTCAGTTCAACAGGATATCTAAATGCAGTATGTCTGATTAACCCTGCAAGTGCATTGACAAATAGTACAGGATTTGCTGTGGAAATAGAACAGCTGAATTCAAACTTTTTTAAAAAAAAACTCACACAACACAAAGACCTATGCAAATAAGCCCTGCCCTGTTTGCTTTAAATATAGAGGTTTTCCCCCTGCCACTGACAGCTTCTAATTTTTAAAGCCAGAATGATTTGAATGGTGTTTCCCCCATGTGATCAGTTGATTCATTCTCCAAAAGGAGAAGGGTGTGACTAATATTCCCTCTAAGCTGCATGGGTGTGCAGCACTGCATTGGTGCCTCACACCTGCAGCCAGTGTGGCTGCCCATTTGGTTTCGGTTGAGGCTGGAACATAGAGATTGGGGGGGGGCACCCAACTCTGGCAGAAAATTAGAGGGAAAGTTTGATATGACTGTGGCTGGTATTCTAGTGATGCACTAAGCTGGGTGTGATGTTGTAGACAACAGGAACACCAACCTCACAATCTTTCTCCCTAGTAGCCACAAAGTATTTTTTAAAAACAAACTACTGAGTTTAGTGCTAAATCACTTTATCACTGCATTGATATATTAGTTTAATGCAAGATAATTTGTGTATGGACCAAAAACAAAAGAAAGATAACAATTAACATGAAATAGAAACAATTCCACTGAGTTACTTTAGACTACTGTTCTATGATGTATGTGTGTGTTTGTACATTATGTAGTTCTTTGAAAAACTGTTCATTGTTCTGGTTCTGATTTGCCTTAATCATGCACCTGCTACATATGAAAGGTTCACAGCACCTGCATTTTCCCTCGAATATGCACCCAGTTACAATGCCTAGTTAATGTAATATTCCATGCCATGCCAACTGTCAAGAATACAAAGATCAAACCTCCTGACAAGAGATGCCCATGCTGGTCAGATACTCCAAACACTTTTGAACATCACTTGTAAGCCCCTGACATGGGATGCAAGAATGACATTCTACAAATGACATATACAAAGATTTGAATAGCTAATATTATAGTATGAGCATATCAGTATAGTTATGTGCTAGAAGAAATAAATGGGGAAGGGAAGAGAAGCCCTCCCACTTTTTCAGAATCCAAAATAGTCTTACCTCTTCAGTGTATGATCCAAATGCTGTGGAATTCATATGTCTAGTCCATCCATTCACAAAGTTCTTGGTGTGGATGAGAGTGAGCAGAAAAAATATCAAAAATTCAATAGCAATTAAAATGTGTATATCATTCAAAACAGCTTAAATCCAATAGTAGCCAGCAGGGGAGAGGCCTACACCTGGTACCAAAACAACACCAGGTTCAGTCCAAGCAAGCCTTTCTGACAAGGGCCTTTCATAGCTAGGTTTCCTCCACTAAAAGATGCTGTCTCCCATTAGCTGCTAACTACATCTGACTTAGGCAGTGGCACTTTTTTTTTTAAAACAACGATTTCAAGGGCTGAATACACAGCTATGTGAACAGAGAGACAATTTCTCAGATAGTGGTTGTCGTGGGTTTTTCGGGCTCTTTGGCCGTGTTCTGAAGGTTGTTCTTCCTAACGTTTCGCCAGTCTCTGTGGCTGGCATCTTCAGAGGACAGCACTCTCTGAATTTCTCAGATAATCTAGTCTGAAGTAATAAAGATTAATAAAGAGCCTAAAGCAGTGGTTCCCAACACTGAATAACCCATGTGTTCTTGGACTCTAATTCCCAGAAGCCTTCACCACCAGCTGTGCTGACCCGGGTTTCTGGGATTTGCAGTCCAAAGAAAGCATTTATTAATGCCAACAGGAAAATGAATTCATACATATCCTAACAAGTTAGTATAGAAGTCCAAAGGTTCAGAATTCATTGGATAGCTTTTATAGATGGTTATATAATGCACCAGAGTTCTTTCTCATATAATTTTCTTTGAAGTATCTTACTCACAAGATGTTTCTCAAATTGGAACATTTCCTTTTGCGTCTGGCCTGTCCAAAATGATGGATTTGGTTTGTGTGTGTCCTTAGTCTGTTTACTCAAAGGATATGAGTCCTGTGTTTTACTTGTTTTATGAGGCTTCTTTGCTGCAAGAATGCCTATGTGTCTGCAGGTTTTGTAAGGAATGGCTGTTTCCCATAATATATTTAGTTAGCTATATGAAAGGTATAAGTACACTGGCTATTTAAATGCATTTATATACAGTAATTGCTAAATTCTAACATGTGTGGTTATATCTCAAATGTCAGAATGAGGAGGAACCTCCTCAATATCTAAAAAAAAAATTATATACAATATGAAAAACATTAAAATATTGAAAGCATCCATGTATGGAACACAAGGGGTTGCTAAACACTGTAAACTAATACACAACCAGAGCACAGACAGAGTTCTGACTCCTGTCCTCTGAAGATGCCGGCCACAAAGACTGGCGAAATGTTAGGAAGAGCAACCTTCAGAACAGGGCCAAATAGCCTGAAAAAACCTACAACAACCATAATACACAATCTATTATTAAAGAATCAACAAGTGCATTTCCTTCTATGCCTGAAGAAATAGGTACTCTCTCTTCTGTAGAAGTTCTGCTACAAAGCACTAGTGAACCATCTAAAAACAAGTTACTGTCTTTACAACTATTTTTTTCTTATGCAAATGTAATCAACTGATCAGAACTGACACAATTAATCAACCAGGATTTCTTTAATTGGGTGACTACCTTTGCAAATATCATTAGGAATGGAATTTATTACACTTCAGTGGAGACAGAGCTAAACCTTAGAATTATAACCCATTCAATATGCCACCTTTAAATCATTATACTAGTTCTCAAAATGTTTAAAGCCAGTTCTCCAAGCTGTTATTTTCTTCTGTGCTAATAAAAGGTCTGTTATGTTGTCAGGAAACAAATGATTATCTCACAGATAAAAATTTTTATCTTAAATTTCAGAGATTGACCTAGACCATTTACATTTATTTATTTATTTATTTATTTATTTATTTATTTATTTATTTATTTATTTATTTATTTATTTATTTATTTATTT